ATCCTCAGTAAGGAATATCCATTTCTTAGCTGTTTCCACTTCTGGCATCCATCCATCGCTAAAACTTCAAATCTCGGTGCCAATCAGAGGTTGGAACCGGAACCGATTGCATTTATAAGCTTCTGACTCGGAACCGTTATTTAAAGTTATGATAACCGGAACCGATACCGGTACCGTTAGTACTATTATTTATTTTCTATAATTTTTGATAATTCATATTTTATTTATTTATGTTGGAACTCTTCAAAACCGAATAAATCCTGGAACCGGAACCACAAATTACTAAAACCACGGAACCGGAACCCTTAAAAAGTTATTCCACCTAAATAGTGCGGAACCGGAATCTATATTTCATATGGGTCCCAACCCCTGATGCGAATACAGGGTTTTGACTCCACCATCAGTAAAATCTTGTCGGAGGTTACCACATTCCCCTTTTCGGTATCCATTTCCGATGTCCCGTTCCTCCGCAATTCGGGTTTTGGTGGATTTTGCTAAAAACCGTCCACAAAATAATATTCAATTTTTGGGGCACTTCTCATAGCTGGAGATTCTGTTGGCGACGCGAGAAAAAGAGACCGCGATTCGATCTTTAAGAAATTTTAAGCCGCGTGACAAAATTCGCCCGAAGTCGACTACCCCTAGAAGATGCACCTTGGAAAAGGTGGTTAATTTCGCGCCTATTAAAAAAAATCCGTCACGCACTTTAAGACACCCTGTATAATAACCTTGGCCCAATAGTACGTTACGTCGCTGGAAAACAATGGCGACCTTTCTTATACTTTTAAGAACGTGTTCGCCAATTTTCAAAGCCATCGGGCGTTTCTAAACAGTTATTATTGTGCGTATGGACAGACAGACAAACGGACAGAAAGTGAGGTGCTAACTTTATCGACCTGGGAAGCTGACTCATTTCGTATGTTTTCTTCTTCTGGCGTTATTCCCGCACAATTGCAGGGTCCGCAGGCCCCAAACTCCATCGAAGCATGCGCATTTCCACCGAGTGAAGTGCGCGCTCGTGCTTCGCCAATACAGGTCGTAGAGAGCAAATTGTAAGACTGAAATATGCTTCAACGCGAACGATCGAACTAAAATTACCCGTTGTCTAGCCCCTAGCAAAATGATAAATTAACGTTTAGAAGAACACGACAGGATAATGTTATCCCCGTGTGGGAAAGCGCTACTTTGGAGACACCTGTCGGTATTTTATCACAAATCAATATTTACGTGCCTTTTTGACTATATTTAAAGCACAAAATAATTTGGAACTACGCAAATTCTAGTAATTGATTTATTATGGAGAATAAAACTTGATAAATCAGAAGTAAATCAGCATATGCATGATTAAACCGCATTTTTGGTATTCCAGATTGGCAAAGTAATTTTTTCCGAGACAGTAATCAGTATTTGTTTTTGTTTACTTCTGCATACTGAAATTTTAAATTATCGATCTCACTAGTAATCTAATTTAGCTCGGCTGATCAGGTGTGGGTATAGATTTCTATAGAAATGTCCGACATTTTGCTCCAATGTGGCGGAATTGACTGATTCACGAACTTAACCGAGACGTTTATGCGTTACACCAACCCTTAAAGTTTGATCGAAATCGGTTTATAATTACGAAAGTTATAGTGTTTCTTGGAAGTGATACATACTGATTCAAATTCGAGGGCCACCATGGGGATCTCGGGAACTGTAAGAGATAAGTAGGTAGTTTAAATTGTTACTTTTAAATTTTAAGTTTGACGTTTCGTCTCTAGTCAACCATCATCAATTTTGTTTTTTCTTATGGAAGTAATTTTAACTTTTTTAACTTTTACTTCCATAAGAAAAAACAAAGTTGATGGTCGCTTTTAAAATTTAAACCTAACATCTTGTTGTCAATTTTGTAAGCAAAACCATCAAATTTATAAATGTGAATCTTTTTTAAACTTGAGCGTTTTGGATAGAATAAATGCAATTAAGCAATTAAAATTATGTTTAAATTGTTTACGAGATAAACATTTTTCCTTTAATTGTAAACTAAATAAATGTTATAAGTGTAAAAAAGCGCACAATATTTTATTGCATTTAGATCAAGAAAAATCAAGTTCGGGAATTGAAGTCGACTCTAACCATGATAACCAGGTGGCTGAGGCCCATTCTTCGAGCGTTAGTTGCGTATCAGAAATAAAGTTAACAAAAGCTGTTTCACAAGTGTTATTATCTACAGCAATTGTTAAAATTAAAAATCATAGAAATGAGTACATAGCGTGTAGGGCTTTAATTGATAGCGGATCGCAAAGTAATTTTATTTCAAATCATTTGTGCCAAAAAATTGGTGCACAGCCTCATAAAATTAATATCCTTGTAAAGGGTGTAGCTGAAGCTTTAACGAATATTGACAAGAGGGTATATGTGTCAATGGGGTCATCCCGCCTTCATTTTTTATTTCTGATCCACAAAGTACATTACAAATAAAAAGACCCGTGTGTCCTCAATTTTTATTTGCGAGTAAAATAAACCCAAAATAAATTATTGAAAAGCTGTGTTTTTAGTCCGAATTTGAAACGCTTCAGACTAAATACGTCACAAACCTACAACCAATCACGTAGAAGTGAGCTGGCAACCTTACGCGAGGGTCTGACGTTTGTCACATTTGACGTTTTGAGAGGGATGTTTAACTGCATCTAGCACGAAAGTGACAAGTGCCTGTGACAGATGACGCAAGTTATAAATGCCATTCTCCTGCAATATTGCCAAGTCGTTATGTCATCTGAATGGTTCTAGGAGCTGATTGGTCGGGCTTATTACGTCACAGAGCCCGCCACAATCATATCGTTTTGAATAAACCTTTAAAACGGCACATGTTCATTATTTTTTTGCTAATCAGCCTCTATTTTTCAATAAACTGTTACTGTCCAAAAAAATGTTTTATGGTTTCAGGTACACGCTTAGTAAATTAGAACTGCGGAATTCAACTATACTGTAAACCCCCATTAAGTCTTGCTATAATAATTTTACTATTGATATTGACTGTAGTATTAACCAAGGTAACTGATGAGTTACCTACTGTATCGTTTGGGAGAAATCATATTATGTTACCAAAAGGGGTACAATTAGCTGATCCTAATTTTAATTTGTCTTCTAAAATCGACATATTGTTAGGAGCTTCTATATTTTGGTCCAGCTTATGTTTAGGTCAAGATCGACTAGGTACAAATATGCTAGTTTTACAAAATACCCAGTTTGGATGGATTATTGGAGGAAATTTAAATTTACCATTAAATAACACATCGGCTAGTTTTTTAAATATTAATTACGCAGACAAATTGCTAAATGATACGATGGTTAGATTTTGGCAGATAGAAGAAGTGGAACAGAAAAGGGTAAGGTTAACTGCGGAAGAACAATACTGTGAAAATTATTTTAGGGACACAACTAGGAGAAATTATGAGGGTAGATTTGTTGTCAAAATACCTTTTAAGCAATCTTTACTTGAGTTAGGGAATTCGCGAGATAGTGCTTTACGTAGATTCGAGTTACTTAAACGGAAATTCGAGAAAAATAAAGAATTAAAGTCCGAATATTGCGTACTTATGTTAGAATATGAGAAGTTAGGCCACATGGTAGAGAGTAAAGATAGTTCGGATAGTTTATTAACAGATTATTATATGCCTCATCATGCTGTATTTAAAACCAGTAGCCTTACTAGTAAATGTCGCGTAGTGTTTGATGTTTCCACGAAATCAAGTACTGGTATTTCTTTAAATCAAGTGCAGTACGTTGGTCCCAAACTACAGCAAGATCTTTTTTGTATACTAGCACGATTTAGAAATCATAAAATCGTGATGACGGCAGACATATCTAAGATGTACCGTCAAATTTTAATTAGTGATGAACAAACTAAATTTCAAGAAATATGTTGGCGAGCTAACGTATCGGATAGAATTAAATGTTTTGAATTAAAAACATTTACGTATGGTACTGCATCTGCACCGTTTTTGGCAGTAAGATGTTTGGTAGAATTAGCAAACGAATGTAACGAAAATTTTCCCGAAGTAAGTAAGATTATATTAAATGATTTTTATATAGATGATCTTCTCACTGGAGTAGAATCAATAAATGATGCTCTTCAAATACAAAAGTGTTTATCTAGAATTTTATCAAAAGCTGGTTTTGAATTACGCAAATGGTTGAGCAATAATAGTGCAATACTGAAAAGGTTTGAAATTAGTAAGGGATTAGATCAAGGTATTATACAAATAGGTGCGAACGAACAAAATAAAACTTTAGGAATTTTTTGGAACTCCAATGACGATATTATTCAATATTCAAAGATAATTTTGGATTCGATAAAGTCACAAAAAGAAATGTGTTAGCTGTAATATGCCAAATATTTGACCCGTTAGGTTTATTAGGACCAGTGATAATAATTTCAAAATTGATAATTCAAGAACTTTGGGGGCTCAAACTAAAATGGGGCGCTATTCTCGACATCGTTCCTTTTCGTACCATTCGAATTGAAAACGAAGGGTTTATTTACGAGTACTTTCATAAAATGGTATTCTTGACTGCTATTCGTTTATCAAAACGTATGCTTGGAATTTTTACGAACGAACGGCATGGCAACACTGTCATAATTTAATTTGACATTTCTTTGCGTGCGAACTACGAATTTTTTAAATTACAAACCATTTGAATTATTATGGAGAAACATAAAAAACATGTACAAATTACTACAGAACAAAAGCAAATATTGGTTGAATTGATGAAAAGTAACAGGAACTGCAAAGCGGCAAATTTTCTAACACATTTACATATAAAGATGCCCGAACCGAATGGGAAAAAATAGGACGCACGTTAAATAGCATCCCCGGGGCAAAGCGGGACTGGAAGAGTTGGAGGAAGGTGGTAAATCATTATGCAATTTTATATTACTTAAGGTGGGTTTATGCAAAAAATTTAAGAATTAATTTAAAATTAAAAAAGTTAAAACCTCAGAAATTAATTGTGTGGTTTATGCCACATTTAATTTATTTTAAATTTAAATTAAAAAATTAAAAGTTAACCAACTTTCAACTATTAAATTAAATGCTACGTGAAAACGCAAATGCGCATGCGGTAAATTTATTGATTTTTCCTAACAGCTGATTGAAATTACTTGGTCACGTCGAACACGTGCGTTGCGGGCGCCATTACTTGTTTACTGCTTGTTTACGTAAGATACACACGCGAAATGGATGATACCATTTTAATAAATTTGGTAGAAAAATACAATTTTCTGTATGATAGGAGACATACAGATTTTAAAAACAAATCGATGAGGGCCAATGCTTGGTCCACAATTGGTTCTATTTTAAACACATCTGGTAAGTTTTGGGTTTAGATTAGATTTATTAAGGTGCGTATACATATGCGAGCCGAACCGTTCGCGAACCGCTCGCGAACAACTGGTTCGTTAGATTGGGACGGGATTTGTTAGCGCTCGCGAACCGTTCGCGAGCGGTTCGTGACGAACCGTTCCCTGTCGGTTTTTTCGACGAACACAAAGGGATTCGCAGTTCACATTGGGACGTGTTTGTGCGAGGTTCGTCGTTTTTATTCCGGTCGCGAGGTAATTTATAAATATGGAGTGGCCCGAGGAAAATATATTGCGGTTAATAAACATCTATAAATGTAGACCTTTATTGTGGGACCCCAAAAATGTTAACCATTTTAAAAAAAATTTAAAAGAAGATGCTTGGCGCGAAATAGGCGTGGAAATGGGAGGTGTCTGCAGACCAGTGTAAAAAAAAAGTAATATGTCTACTGGCTTCGTACAGGCGTGAGAAAAACAAAGTGAAGACAAGCACTGGAACAGGAAAAGGTAAAAATATAAAATACGAATAACAACATAAAATTACACACGTTTCCAATTTTTGTTTTTGTTAAATTAAGTTGTTAACGTTGACATTTTAGTTGTTTGGACCTACTTAACTTACAATGTATTCATACTAATAAATTACACTAAACACTACATAATTTACGTACAATTACAAAGTAATAGTTGAAATACAATAAAACATTTACGCGGATGGATGCTTGGAATAATGTTAATTTTGTATTGTAGGAAGAGATGAAGTTTATGTAAGCAGATGGTTTGCCTACGAAGCTTTCAGCTTTCTGGAAGACAGGGATTTGCCGAGAAAGAGACTTGCCACGGTGAGTAAATCCTCTTAAGCATATTGGTTTTGCCATTCTAAAAATCCTTCCTTAATAAAATAATCAGCTATTTCATCCCTAATTCTGGAACAGTAATTGGTGGATCTTCGAGGAACATTTATTAGCGGCAACATAGACGTCATATCTCCTTCTTTCCTCCATGACCCTTCGATTAAATTCCCCTCCATTTCATTGTCTAATAAGCCAACAGGTGCATACAGATTAGGTGAATGCGTTCTAAGATAATTATGTAACAGGATGGTCGTCATTACTACCAATTCCGTTGTTTCGGGCTTCAAAAGCATTGGTCTTCTTAAGACCCTAAACACGGCACTTGAAATACCGAAGGCGTTCTCTACTATTCGACGGCCCCTACTCAATCGATAATTGAAAATTCTTTGAGGAGTTCCTTTAGCGAAGTCTCCTGCGTATGGTTTCATGAGATTTTCACTTAAAGCAAAGGCACTATCGCCTGCAAAGAAATAAGGTATTTGCATACTACGCCCCGGTAGTTCTTCTGGTAATGGAAGTCCCAATGTGTTTTCTGCAAGCATTCGATGTAATTTACTCGCCTTAAAAACTCCCCCATCTGAAATTCTGCCTTGGCATCCCACGTCAGCAAACATAAAGTTATAATTGCCATCAACTAATGCAAACAGTACAATACTGAAATTCGATTTGTAATTAAAGAACTCAGTACCAGAGTTCACAGGAGCTTGTAAAACAACGTGTTTGCCGTCGATGGCACTAACACAGTGACGCAGATTCCAACGTGTTTCAAATATCTTGGCAACTTCCGTCCAAGCTGCAGGAGTCGTGGGTAACTGAAACAGAAAATACTTATTCAAAAAAATGGTTTATTAGGGTACTATTTCAATTTGAAGAAGAGGGGATTCAATGTAAATTTAATTCTATTTATGAACACATTTGATTCATGAATTAATATCTAAATTTTAATTTTAGGAGGCGGATGATGTACAAGATGGCGTCTATCCAGTAGACTTGCCTGTCGGGCAAATTGATCAAGAAGCAACACAGAGGGAAGAAGAGACACAGCCACCTTCTACGGTCAAATCTGATAAGCGAGTGAAGGGGAAACGAGATGATATCAGTTCTCCAATGATGAATAGTGCGTTTCAGATATTGGCAGCTGCCTCAAAAAAGTTGGACATGAAACCGTGTCCTGCAAATGAAATTGATTCATTTTTCACATATGTCGCTACGAAAGTTAACAAATACCCTTCTGAACTACAACAGGTGGTTCAGCACTCCATTTTTGAAGTACTTATGCATGCAGATAGAGGTTTGCTTTGTTCGCCTACTCCAGCTTATCCGTATCCTACTAATTGGCAAAACTCTGTAGGAACTGCACCAATTGCCACCGCCCACATGTATTCACAGCCTACACCCCATTCTCAACCTCCTTCCCTTATGCATTCCCAAGCTACTCCCCATATGCATTCTCAACATAGCCATCCTGTGTATTCACAGTCACAGCAGGAAATACCTCCTGCTGCTACACCTTCAACATCTGGTCTGTCTTTATCTGTGCCCTCATCACAACCGTCTCCTGATTTATCAACGACGTCAGAGAACTTTGAAGATTTTCTGTAATGTACCTTTACTTATGTGTTTCCTAACTTTCTAATTACATTTTATTTGTAATTAAACTTAAAATTTGACCAAAAGAAATTCCTTGTATGTGAATGAGTTATTAAATATGTTACCTTAATATAACCCTGCAATTCCGTCACAAGTGCTGCGCAGACTTGTGGTACTATACGTCCAATGGACTGCTTGGAAATCCTAAATAGGTACTGGAGGCTAACAAATGAATCACCCGTAGCAAGGAACCGAAGTGTTACCGCTAGTCTGAAACAATAAATTAGTAAAAAATACAAACACATAAATATCCTAGTATTCACGGTAGCATTATTTACCTGTCTTGAGCGGATATTGGAGTGCGAAAATAAGTTTCATCTTTCGAAATTTGGGGGCCAATCTTCTGCAATAAATTCTCAAAATCTGAAGGCGACATACGCGTGAAGTTTTTATATTGGCCGCTCATTTCTTGTGATTTCATGTCGATAATCAGTTCCGTGCCGCTGCGTTTTTTATATAAGTCGGTATGCCACCAACGCCTTTGCTTCCTCTTTTTTTTAGCCAAACTACCCATCACGAGAGCTGCACTGCTCATAACCATAATAGTGTAAATTTCCTCGCGCGAAGACATGTTCAATATATAGAAGTACACAGCCGACTGCTGGTGGTTTGCGGCTGGGTCGGCTTTTCCATGGATCGTTGGAAGTTCGTTGTAAAATTAATTTCAAAGAACAGTTTTTGAGCGGTTCGCGAACGGTTCGGCTCGCATATGCCAGTGGCGTAGCTGGGGGGGTGCGAAAGGGGCGGCCGCCCCGGGCATCACATTAATTGGGGCATCATAATGTGATGCTCAAAACTATAAAAAGAGTAGCCAATGATGCCCCCGGAGGCCGGAATTGCCCGGGGAATGATTATTTTTTTCAAAAAATAATCAGGGCTGAATTTAAAAGCCGCATGCAGTCGCACTAATCGCAGGCGCAGGCCGGCAGGCGATTGAGTCGGCCCCGTGCAACGTTTTGAGTCACTCACCCCACTATTACCGACTTACCGACGCGACGTTCATACGAAACTAACGAATTAACAATTAACGAAACGATACGTTCATCGAAGAGAACGAATCCGCAACAAATAAATTGCTAATTGCACTCTGTCTGTCACACAAGTTTTCGAAATCGTCCACATCAGCTATAATTAACAGTTTGTGTTTGTGATTACTACGGGAGATTGAAGATTTCGTCGATCATTATTCAGCTTAGTGCTTAGAAGGAAAATAAAAAATCTAACGGAGGAACGTCGTCGTCGTGCCACATGCAAAGAAATCAGGTAAGTGTTTGTTTTTTCGTTGATTTGAAATTGAAGAACAAGAAGAAACAATAAGGGGGCATGCAGAATTTTGAATGACAATGTTTAAAGTGGCGTATATTCATATTCATAATAAAATGAATCCTAAAATATTTTCACGATAAGTCACATCGTTCACTTGTTTTCTTGTTAGTAATTATTGAAGTTTGAATTTCCAAACCACGCGTTAAAACGCCGACTCGCTTTTAAATCGTCTGTATTTTGGAAAGGAATTTTTCTTTTGTTTTAAATATTCAAAAACATTATAGTGGGTATTTGTTCTTAATATTCAGCACAAAATATTTCGAAAATTCGAATTAAAAATCTATGCAAGACCCCTATTAATAATTTGAATTTGCACTTTCTAAAATATTCTGATCCCTCCGTTATTGCGCTATAAATTACTTTATTCTGATTCTGATACTGATTGGTCGCTTCAAGGCCCAATGTAATATGTACGATATTTTGCATGTGTAAATGATTGTTGTTGAATTGAATCAATGTGCTATTTTCAGATGAAGCGACAACAACCGAGTGGTGCACAAAATCGTGCGAAGAAGAGAGCTAGTGAAAAAGAAGCAAAGAAACAGGAAGGATCTATGTTAAAGTTCTTAAATCTGAATCAACCCACTAGTAGTTCAAACGCTGCCACTACAAGAGAGACTGAAACTGAGACCGAAATTTCTGGTACTGAAGATGCTGTTGAATCCGGTTCTGATCATTCTGAAGAACTGATTGCCGAAAGAGATGTCCCTGAATTTCATCAAGTAAATCCTGAAAACGTTGCTGAAACAGCCAACTCGTCTGACAGTTCAATAGGAGAACAAGGTACTCCTGGTGACCCGAGTATCGACGCTCAGGGTTCCCAACCCACTGATGAGCGAAGCGAACATGACTTGATGGATATTGGCAAATGGCCTTTGCGCATTTCGGACAACTTTCGTATGCAAGCAGTCGTCATGGGTTCGAAACGAATTCAGTACATGGATCACTCATTCCAAGAAACTGAAACAGTTTATAAGGATGGTGAAACTGGTGAAAGACGGAAGCTGACTAAAACTTGGTTCTTCAAGAAGATGCCAAATGGGGAGAAAGTACCCAGGGAATGGTTGTGTTATTCTCCATCCAAGAAATCCGTATACTGTTTCTGCTGTCGGCTTTTCCCTGGGCTTTCATCCCTGGAAACTGCTTTTGCATCTAAAAGTGGATTCAGCGACTGGAAGAAACTTTCCCCACGTGTACCCAACCATGAATTGAACCCTGCTCATCAACAATCTCTCGTTCTGTGGAAACAACTGGAGCTGCGTCACCGAACTGGGACGACAATCGACAGAATTGCCGAAGAAGAGATTCAGAAAGAGAAAGAAAAATGGCGTAATATTCTTACTCGAGTACTTGACATCATACGGTTTTTGTCGAAACAAAACTTGGCCTTCCGAGGCCACCGAGAAACCGATACTCCTGATGTAGCGACGAATAAGGGAAATTTTATAGAACTGGTGAGATTGCTGTCGAAGTACGATCCAGTTCTCAGAGAACATATGCTGAAGATTGATTTGAAAGCGGAGCGCACAAGTTACATGTCGCCGCAAATACAAAACGAGTTAATTGGTTTACTGGGGGATCATGTGAGGAGCCGTATATTACAGCGAGTGAAAAATGCCAAGTATTTTTCAATAATTTTTGACAGTACGCCAGACATTTCTCGATTGGATCAGACTTCCCAAGTACTTCGCTACGTTGTTGTGGAAGGTGACCATGTGAGCGTTGAGGAGTCTTTTATTGAATTTATCGACACGAAAGACAAACATGCTGCTGATATCGCTTCTATGATTCTGGAGAAGCTCAAATCGGATGGACTGGATATAATGAACTGCAGGGGTCAAGGCTACGATAATGCAGCGGTTATGAAAGGCCAACATTCGGGGGTACAAAAAAGAATCAGCGATGTCAATCCTAAAGCGCAATTTATTGCCTGTTCGAACCACAGCTTGAACTTGGCAGGAATACATGCCGCTCAAGCCGAAGTTAATTCCGTCACGTTTTTCGGCACGCTGGATCGTCTGCATTCTTTTTTCTCTTTATCAACTCATCGCTGGGATGTGCTTTCAACAACTACTGGGACCAGTTTGAAACGATTAGTTGACACTCGTTGGAGTTCTCGTGGCGAGGCAGTCAAGATGGTCAAAAACAACTTCGAGAAGATATTGGAGTCTTTGGAGATTCTAACTGGAATAAACGAGAATGCAGATACAAGGGCTACAGCTGGAGGTTTGTTGGTATCTCTTCAATCGTTCACTTTTCTGACATACCTGGGGTTTTGGGAGCCAGTACTAGCGGAAGTGAACGACGCTCAGAACTACATGCAGCAACGGGGTTTGAGTTTGCGTGACTGCGCGTCCAAAATGAAAGCATTGAGTGACTTTCTCGATTCCGCCAGAGAAAACGTTGCAGATACCTCTCTGAGCTTCGCTGAATCATTGTGTACTAAACTAGGAATCACAACGGAACCTCAGCGTCGAATTCGTCAGAAGAAAAAAATGCCTGGAGAAGAGGCTTCTGATTCTGGTTTGTCCTACAAAAACGAACTTCGAAGGGAAATCTGCGCGTCAGTTGATAGGATCAAACAAGAAATAGCAACTCGCTTCGAACAACTTCAGGATGTAGCTCAGAAGTTCGAGTTTCTCTCTCCAGCAATATTACTTGACGAAGATCTCAGCATCGATCTCTCCAACGCTCCTGACGATATTGACCGAACTGAATTCGTGATCGAGAGAAAGCGATTACAGACTTTCGTAACGGCATCAAATGAGAAAGAGAGTTTGAAACATCTTGGACCTCTTGAACTTCTGACATTCATTCATCAGCATCGATTGTCCGACTCCGTTCCGAACATCAATATCATGCTTCGTATATTTTTAACCATGGGAGTCAGTGTAGCTACGTGCGAGCGAAGTTTCTCGAAACTGAAACTTATCAAGAATTACCTTCGGTCTACCATGTCAAATTTGAGATTGAATAGTCTTGCTATAATGTCTATTGAACATGAGCTGGTCGATAAAATTAATTTCGATACTATCATTGACGACTTCGCTAGTCGTAAAGCTCGCAGAGTGCAATTGTGATCGGAATTGTGTCTTGTTATACATTATCAAATTGACAAATTACAGTTTTAGACTAATAAAGTTGTTTACATTCGAACTTTGTTGTTTTTCGCGAACTTGGGGGCATCAAATTAGCTGTCCGCCCCGGGCAGTAAATTCCCTAGCTACGCCACTGGCATATGCATACGCACCTTTATACATTATAATTAGATAATTACAGCTGGTGAGGCTGAACAGAGGTTCGCTGTTCTACGCAACAGGTACACTGTTGAAAAAAAGAAGATGAAAGCAAATAGATCCGGTGATGCAGGAGGAATTGAGAAGAAATGGCCCTTATTTGATATATTAAGTTTCCTGGACACGTTTATTATACCAAGAAGGTTAGTACACCTCACTGCTTTTCCTTTATGTACTGTAATATAATTTTTACAGAACTACAGGCAACATCTCAACCTGCTCAGCAAAGCAGGACCAAGAAACTCCAATTTTGGAGATGCCGAATTCCCCAGAATGGGATACCTTCACGCAAATAACACAAACTGAAGATCAACAACCTGCTAACACTCCTGCAGATTCGGAAATAGACGAGCCACCCAACAGTCCAGTAACCACTCGAGTAACCATTACACCTCCAATTACAAGACGGCCAAAACAGGAAAAAACGAAAAATAATTCTGTCCATTTCAAATGCCTTTTCGGCTTTTAACACGGCAATCCAACAACCCCCACCGAACGAGCCACAAGCCATGGATGAAGACGACCATTTCGCCTACAACATTGCAGCCTCCTTACGCCGGATAACCTCTAACAAAATAAAAGCACAGGCAAAAATAGACTTGCTGCAAGTAATGCAAAAATATGCTGATTAATGTTCATATATACTTCTTTTTAATTTATTTTTGTAATATGATTATTGTAATAGTTAGGTTAACAAAATATAATACAAACTAACAATAATATAACATTTTTATATTCAATGCGGTAAGCTGCCTGCATATATTTGTTGGATTTGCCATGGTACACTTCCAGCATCGGACACAAAATAATCCGCTAGCAAATCTCTATTTGCACCAACTCTGTGAGAAAAGTTGTTGGTGCCAATCCTTCCAATGCCTGTTAAGTGTTGTCCAGTACCTCTCCAACGACCTTCGTGGAGAGTCCCTTCGCCATCTATGTAATCGGCATAACCATTTGGTAGATATACTTTTTTGCCATTTTCTTCTGTAAGTATAAAATTGTGTAGAACCACAGTTGCTTTCACAATTTCTTCACAAGTGCTGAGGTCTGCGATAATAGTTTTTCTCAACACTCTCCACCGTTGTGCCACAATCCCGAATGCATTTTCTATGCACCGTCGTGCCCTTGATAATCTATAATTGAAAATCCTTTTTTTTTCTACCAAATGTTCTCCGGGATAAGGCCTCATTATGTTCTGGTGCAGTGGGAACGCCTGATCTGTCACCAAAAAGTGGGGTAGCAGAATGCTGCTTCCTGGTAGCACCTTTGGATTTGGTAGTTGAAGACGTTGTTCAAGTAGCGCACTACCAAATCCAGATTCTCTAAATACCATGCCATCATGGTTAGATCCGGCAGCCCCTATGTCCACCATATTAAACTTATACTGAGCATCGCAACTTGCCATCAGGACAATACTACACAATAAATTCATTTTTTATACATCTAACAAGAACATATTTATACATGAAGGTTTTTTTGTAACTAAAAAACTGTGATCCAGAATGTTTGGGACTTTGAATAACTACGTGCTTCCCATCCACAGCACCAATGCAGTTGGGCATATTCCACAACCTGGAAAAACCGGCAGCAGTTCTCTCAAAATCGTTTTTTGATGGAGTCGATAAATAAATAGGTTGAAGTCGTTCCCAAAGGACTTGGCAAGTTTCTTTTATTATGCAGTGGACGGTGGTCTTACCAACATAATAATTCCAGGCAATATCTTGCATGGACATACCTTGGGATAGGAAACTGTTATTACATTAGTATACCATCACATTTATTATGAACTTACTGTAACGTCATCATTAATCGTTCCTCAGGATTAATAAAAATCTTGTTCCTAGGTTGTTTGGTCAAAAATGGCTTGACAATGTTTAGTAGAATGTGGAAGTATCTTGGGGTTAATCTAGTATATTTAAAAAATTGCTCCTCATCGTTGTTTTGCATATATTTGACCAGAGTGGCAAAATGTCCTAGTCGCTTCCGTTCACGATTAAGAGGCCGTATACCCCAACGCCTTCTACGTTTCTCTTTCATTGTAACTACAGCTGCTGCTGTACTTAATAAGAGCAAGGAAAATCCCATGCAGGTAATCAATTTACGCCTATTCATAGTATGTATACAATCAAGTACATTTGAAGAAACTTGAATATTTATAGGTTAAGTTTACGCGCCAAAATCAAGGTTATGTTTATAAAATTATGACAGTAAAGAAGGAGGTTGGGCATCAAAAACCAAAAGCGCATGCCTTAAAAATTATTTCTCATAAATTATTTCTTTTGCATAAACCGTTGTCTTGTGTTAATTTAATTTAATTTTTAAATTAGTTTTAAATTAATTCTTAAATTTTTTGCATAAACCCACCTTTATTCAATTTATTTGAAGACATGGCAAGATTTGAAATCTAGCGCTAAGTCAAAAGCAAGCGCAATTAAACGCCACGCAAGTGGAACAGGCGGAGGCCCTCAATGCGACGATAAATTAACACCAGTGGATGAAGGTATATTAGAATGTGTCAAAGCCGTTAGTGTTGAAGGCTGGCATTGAGGTAAAGGAATCGACGGTTGAATTTACAGAAGTAGAGAAAAATGTTGATGACGTTCATGTTCATTTTTTTTTTATATATTATATTAACTGGATCGGCGCACATGGGTCATACACAGCTAGTTTAAAATTATTGTTTAACTAAATAAATAAATATATAATATAAGATGTTAATAAGAAAATAATAAATAAGAGTAATAGTAATCTAACTATGAACACTTTTAATCACCGTCATCAAGTAGGATATCCTGTGGAAGTCTGGGTTTTAGTCTAAGGTTTTGTGATCGTTGACCAAGTGCGTAATAAATTGAACCCGGACAGTTTCTCAGATCATGAAGAAATTTTGTTGTTGTGGTTTTTATGAATGCACTAATTGGAGAAATATTGAGTTCGCGGCTGACTTGAGCATTACGCACAAACCAGGGGGCATCGGTAGCTATTCTTAACACCTTGTTTTGGAACGTTTGCAACTTACGCAGGTGAGTGTTTGATGCGGTCCCCCAAATTGGACAAGGATACATCAGGGCTGATCTCAGGATTGATTTGTAGATCAATACCGCACATTCAGTTTTCAATGGTGAGCTCTTATTTAGTATAGGGTATAGCAATCTTAATTTATGATGTGCGTCGTTCAACTTTAGGTTTATATGTATTCCCCATGTTAGTCTGTGGTCCAAGTGTACGCCAAGGTATTTAACAGCTTGATCCTTGCGATTCCACGGTATTTGCCTGCCATTGATTTGAATGCATCTTGGATTGCTGTACCTTCTTAATGTGAAGATTTTTGTGACACATTTCGTTTCGTTGAGTAGTAGGTTCCATCGGTTATACCAGCTACTAATTTCATCTACGGCTTGTTGAAGAGCCCCGATGGCTGTATCCAAATCAGAACTGTGTGTTACTATGGCTGTATCATCAGCAAACATGGAAAGAGAACAATTTACTGGGACAGGAATATCGTAAGTATAAATGTTGAAGAGTAAAGGGCCAAGTACAGACCCCTGCGGCACACCTGCTCTAATACTCTTGATATTTGAGAGTGTTGAATTGATTCTGGTAGAGTACGTTCTATCACATAGAAAGGAAGATGTAATGTTGATGATGTAGTTTGGAAATTCAAGTTCTAGCATTTTATGTAATAAGCCCGCATGCCAAACCTTGTCGAATGCCTGTGCGACGTTTTTCTGTGATGTTCATATGGAGGAATATGTAAATTCACCGGCCGGCGAATCGCGTAAAGAATTTTTATGTGATGAACAAGGACCATCTACTGTAGCTGTAACAGCTGTTACCGACTCAGCGACATCAACCTCAGCACGGAAAGTGTCTTTAAAAAAATGCAACTAAAAATGTTCAAACTTTAAGGGCCGGTTGCATAAAAGCACGGTTGAACCGCCGGTTAGTGAATCTCCGGTTTGGGGTCAACCGTCGGTTGGAATGAAACGCGTTGCATAAACGCTATTTCTCTGTCGGTTAAGGAACCGAGAGTTGGTTTTAGATTTCTACGGTTGACTATACTGACGATTCGGTACTAGCGAATCCGCTTTTACTATATGGAAAGCGCGGCAGCCGTGTTTGTAGTGTGCGCATGACATAAACTAATAACCGTTGTCCTCTTTCATGTGCTTATTAGTGTTCATTTGTGTTTTCGGTGTTATCATGACGAAGCGAGTGGTATTTATGGAAAAAGACTGTCACAGTTTGGTGGATTTGGTTCTGCAATATCGCCATATTGTAGAAAATAAACAAACTGATGGAACCACATGGAAAGAAAAGGTAAATCATACACTATAATGTAAGCGCTGCGCGATTTAGGGAGAGAGGGGGAATCTCGACGGGCACTAACGGCGCGGTGATCGGCAGTATCCGACTTGCGGTGGTACTCCTCGCATCTCTGTTGTGTTAATTATTACTTTCAGAGTATTATACGTATTAATTATTGTGAATAATAAATGGTTATTGGGTCATTGGGAACTCGTGTGTTTTACAATAAGTCGGCGCGTATTAGCAGAATTTTTGAAGCACGTGATTTTTTTTATAATTTGAAATTTTGTGTTAAAATAGGCGGAAGGATGGAAGACCATAATGAATAAATATAATTTGAACACGACGGAGACTCGTACTGTCGAGCAGCTGCGCGGCAAGTATGATAATCTTAAGAAAGAGTATCGGAGGTACAAGACAAAACAGAGGGAGAGCCTCTACAGAACCGGGGGTGGTAACAGCGAGTCCGTAGGTCAAGCGTCCTAGTATTGTATGAAGAGTTGGCACAGTTAGTTGAAACTTCTGCGTCGGAGCTTGCACCTGGAACAGGGGCTGATGATGGCTTGATGGTCACAGGGCAACCCATACCTGGTGAGTCATACAGTCTATCTGCTGGAAAATAATTGCTATATTCCTAGAATTGGTCTTTAATATGGTGGTAGAAGACGAAACCATTATGAAGCTGCCGGTTGTAAATGTTGAGATCGGACAGAGTGTCGCAGTTGACTTTCCAGTTGCGGGACCCAGACTCCAACACAAAGAAGGTGCACGGTATGACACTTTGTAATAAGTTTACACATTACAATTGTATATCTAATTTTGTAGTTATATCATGAATATTTTTCACAGAATAAATTGTTATTAATTTTGATGCAATGTATGTTAAACAAATACTTTTCTACTACTAGACTGGTCAAATTACACGCCAAAAATGGTGAAGTCAAAAAGGAACGAGTTCTCGCAGACAAAAAGGAAGAGAGCAGAAGAGGAAGAAGTTGCATCAACACAGGGGCTGAAGCGGAAGCTCCTAGCGGAAGAAGCTGTACGAGAGGAAGCTCATGAAAATTCTTAAAATTGATACTGAAATTAATTGTGCCAAAAAAGAATCTGAAATAAAATGTAAAGTGCTTGAACTCATGGCGGAGCACACGAAATTACAAAATACGAAGATTGTCAAGGAGTTGGAGAAAGCTGGCACCTTATCCCCATTGATAAAATCGGAAATCCGTTTCCATACACCAAACAGCCGCTCTACTGGATTTCGTGCCCTTATGTGGGCCTCATTGAATAAGTTTTCTGCCTCGGTAGCTGGGTGAAGCAACGGGGTGATGAGATATTTCTGGAGACCGTAACCTGAATTTGTTGTTTACGCTGAGAAAAACGATGATGGAAAATTTATTTATTTATTGCCCTACAGGCTTATCGCCCAATTACAGGACAAAGTACTAGTAAAGTACAGTAAAGTAGTGTACAGTGTAATCGATACTTAAACAAAAAAGAAAAAAAAATTTTCCAAACTAATAAAATAGATCCTAACATACATAAAAGAAAATAACAAAACAGAAGGACATAGTGTTACATTAATTCCAGAATAAATTTGAGGCTATCAGCGTGTATGTCACATATCTGGCAAATGGTGTTGAAGTTTCTGCGTGTGATCATAATTGGAGAACGAGATAAAATGGAAGATCGTGGTTTAGGTGTATAAAAGGTTAGCTCAGGGGTGGGCAAACGGTCGATCGCGAACAGTTCGTCAGTCGATCGCACACATGCACACATTTTAATTATTTTAGTAAAATTATTTCGTATTT